GAATTTTATTATTTATTACGAAACTAATTGAATTTCTACGATGAATTCTATTGTTTATAAAAACAATTAAATTATAACGAAGAATTGTATTAAAATTTATGTAGAAAATATAATTTCGTCTCTGAAATATTGGCCATTAATTTTAATTCTTCTTCATCATTTTTCCCCTTTGCGTTTATACGTTTTTTCCGCCCCCTATGACAGGTACTCTTCTCAGCGCTCTTTGTTTTGGTTTAAAAAAGAAAAACATTGGTGTTAGTCAATTTGCCGTGAGAGTGCCGAGGCTGGTAGCAGTTGACGTGTACGAACGTTTATTGTCAAAACCCATTTATCGTCGTACCCTCGTCTAGGGACTTGAATCAAATCTGTTGAATATTTTTGAATTTCATGAGATTTCCGGAATAACGCGAGAACATCGAGATCGTTCTTGTTTCTCTCTGGAATCCATAAAAAATGACAGATGTATTTGCTGGTAAATATAATGATCATTATTCACGAAAACAAGTTTATTTTTCCTTTAATCGCAGGATTGGGAAAAAAATTTCAATTTTTCCCCAACTTTTCAGATGGGAGAAAATTTTTATTTTCAAAAAAAAGGAAATGTCCTTTTTTTGAAAATAAAAATTATTTTTCATCCGGAAATTATAGTGAAAAAGTTGGGAAAAAATGAAAATTTTTTTTAAATATCGATGAATAATTCTTTTTCTAGAAATTTTGTTCTTGAATTGAGAGTTTGTTTCATGAACTGAAGCAAACGTAAAGATTCAGTGATAAATTCTTTGAAGCGCAAGCTGTTGGGGGAGAGAGAAAAAAAAGAAATAAGTAAATAAAAATCGTTTCACCGTCTGCTGCTAGGTGAAGGAGAGAGAATTCTCTGACGAATGGGCAGGCATTTTTGCCGAGAAGGAGAGCATTTTACGCCGCTCACTTTAAAACACAACCGTGCCACATGTAAAATAACAATTTCAGTCTGCGCACTAGCAGGCATTGTAAACTTATATTTTCACGTTATTTCCACCTTCCATTTCTCTATGTTGTCGGTTTATTTTGCGCGCGCTCCTTCTATGAAAACTTTTCTCTACACGTCTTCATCACTTTCACCTATACGTGCAGTCGTGATATTTTTTTTTTATTTTTTTCGCACACGCACACATGGAGGACCGGTACCAGTGTGTTGATTTTTTTTTCACGCCATTGGCTAAATCACGTAAAAACCTCCCCCACACTGCTGGAAATTTATAGGTCGCACAAAACCCTGCTTCCAGCTCGGAAACCGTACACTGCCGTGAATAATTCGAGCAGTACATATTGCAACTACGTGCCGTCGAGAACTCGACAAATACGATTTCCGGATGACCGAAAAGGTTTTATTTCCTCAAATAACTGAGCCATCATCGTCTTTATCTGCCGATGAGGACAAAGTCATCTTTTCAATAAACAACCGATGCTTGAGATTTATCTCTTTTTTTATTTAATTTTAAACATTTCTCCCTTCATAAAATAGATGAGAAATAATTACTTCCATTTTTAGTAAGGAATGCAGAAAGTAAAAATTTAATTATTTTGAAATTTTAAAAATCTCAAAAAATTTAAAAAAAAAAAAAAAAAATTTTTAATCTCAATAATTTTTCCAATAATTTAATTATAAATAACTTGGAAAATTAACTCCGTATTTAATTCATTACAATTGTGAAAATTACAAAATTATGTATTTCTTTTAAATATCAACTTCAATTATGGAATAATTTCAGATTCGAAAGATTTATTCTGCAGACATTTTTTAATAAAATTCTTCATAATAATTGGAATATTTTTATAAATTAAACTACAAAATTCTTTGTAGGAATTTAATTATTTTCAGAAATAATAAAATTCTTCGCAGGAATTCAAATTATTTTTAAAAATTGCAAAAATAAAATTAAATTAGGTAAAATAAAAAAAAATAAATAAAATTAAAAATAAAGTTAAATTAGGTAAAATAAAAAAAAGATAAATAAAATTAAAAATTAAATTAAATTCTTAGCAGGAATTTAACTATTTTGAAAAATTATAAAAAAAATTTTCATAAAAATTCAATTATTTTCATAATTAAACAGATTCTTCGCGGAATTTAATTATTTTTAAAAATTGCAATGCAAAACTTCTCAAGAATTCAATTATTTTCAAAAATAATAAAATTCATGGAGGGAATAGAATTTTTTTCAAAGCTTCTTTCTAAAATTCTTCACAAAAAATAATAAAAATTGATAAAATTCTTTGCAGCAATTCAATTTGTTTCTAAAATTGTAATAAAATTCTTCAGAAAAATGCAATTATTTTCATAAATTGTAAAATTCTTGTCACGAATTTAGTTCCTTTCAAAAATAATAAAATTCTAATCCAGATATTCAATTATTTTTAATATTTGTGAAAATATTCTCCTGAAATCAATTATTTATATAAATAATAGGTATAATTTTTCTCAGGAATTCAATTATTTTAAAAACTAACCAAATTCTTAGTAGAATTTAATTATTTTCAAAAATAACAAAATTTTACACAGAAATTCCATTCATCTTAAACATTTTAATAAAATTTTTCAGAAAAATTCAATTATTTTTATAAATAGTAAAATTCTTCGCAGGAATTTAATTATTTTCAATAATTGTAAAAATTTTGTACTATTGAATTCAATTATTTTTATAAATAATAAATTCTTCGCAGCGATTCAATTATTTTCAATAATTGTAAAAATGTTGTACCCTTAAATTATTTTTAAATAATAAATTCTTCGCAAAAATTCAATTATTTTCAAAAATAATAAAATCCTGGTCGAGAATTGAATTTTTTTTGAAAAATCGTTAAAGAATTCTACAAGAAAAATCAATTATTTTCATAATTAATCAAATTATTTGCAGAAATTCAATTATTTTCTAAAATTGCAATAAAATTGTACATAAAATTTCAATTATTTTTAATAGTAAAAATTTTCTTCCCCTGAATCTAATTATTTCTATAAAAATTAATTCTTGGTAAAAATTCAATGATTTTGAAAAATAATAAAATTTTTTGATGGAAAATTCAATTATTTTCAAAAAGAATAAAATTTTGGGCTGAACATTCAATTATTTATAAAAATTTCAATAGAATTCTTAGCAAAATTCTTTTTATGAATTCAATTATTTTCTAAAGTTGCAATATAATTTGTCAAAAGAATTAAACTATTTTTAAAAATAGTAAAATTCTTAATTGGAATTCAATTAGTTTTAAAAATAATAAAAATCTACGCAAGAATTGAATTTCTTACAAAAATGTTATAAAATTCTTCACAAAAAATAATAAAAATTGATAAAATTCTTTGCAGCAATTCAATTATTTTCAATAATTGTCTAAATATTCTCCTAAAATCAATTATTTTTATAAACAATAAAATTGTTTGTAGAAGTTCAATTATAAAGTAATAAAAATTCTTTAGAAGAATCCTATTATTTTTATAAATAAATTTTCGCAAGAATTTAATTATTTTCAAGAATTGTATGAAAATTCTTAAGAAGAACTCAATTATGTAGGATATAAATTGTAAAATTATTCTCAGGAATTGAATTATTTATAAAAATAACAAAATTCAAGATTTCAATTATTTTTAAAAATTGTAAGAAAATTCTTTATAAGAATTTAATTATTGTCGTAATTCTAGAAAATTTTTATTTTTTTAGTACTTTTATAAAATTTTGTAACATTTCTAATAACCCAGAAATGTTAAATAGACAATTCTAACTAAATAAATATTCATCTTAAAAAAATTTGTATCGAAAATAATATTTCTGAAGAAATTAAAAAAATTTCAGTAAAGTGTAAAGAAAAATAAAATAAAAAAGAAAATGTTAAGAAATATTTTTGGTAAAGAGTTGAACGTTGCGAGGTAAAAAAATAAAAGCAAAAAAAAAAAAACATAAAGGAATAGATTTTCCATCGGAAGCCAAACGATTGAACTGATCGAGATGAATTTCCTCCGGCAGTGGTTGAGTATTGTTTCCCAGTCAAAGGCATTGTTTCCTCGGCAAACTCGTCGCCACTAATCATCGTCTCTGCTTCTAACAATCGACTGTGACACGTGAATACAATAGATACAAGCATCGCAATTCAAGGTATGAGGCAGTTAGGCTTTCAAATTGTGATTGTTAGCGGTAACTAAGATTTTTGCTTGCCACTTTCAGTGTTGTGTGTCTATTCAAATTTAAATCATTTGAAATTAAAGAAAGAAAAAAAAACAAACTCTTAATTGACATAAATTCTTCGTCACAGTAAATATTTAACATTTTTCAAAATGTCTTTTCAAGTCACTCACCTTTTCAAAGAATTTATTTAATTTTAACTATTCAATAAACTTCTCGGAGAGTTCTAGAAATTAAATTCTTAATAAACACTCATTAGTGAGTGAAGAAATTTTATTTCATCTCGGTGAGATGACTGAAATATTCTTGGGCAATATTTTTTGCACTTCAGATAGGTGTACACTCAGAGAAAAAATTTATTTAAACGAAATATAATTTATTTTAGTTAAAAAGAATTATATTTCTCTCAGAGTCATTATATTTGTCTTAAATAAAAATTTTATTCGTTTTAAATAAAAATTTTATTCCACGTAAATAAAACTTTTATTTTAACCGAATAAAATTTTATTTAATGTTAAACAAAATTTATTTGACATAAATAAAAAATCTAGTTGGCACCGAGTAAAATTCTTTTTTCTGAGTGTTTATTGAAATATATAGTATAAAAATAAAAAACAAAATACAAAAGCGAATATTAAAAAAAATACTACGTATTTATGAAAGAGTCTTTCAATTAATGGAGGAGGGGAAATAAATATTTAAATTAAATAGTAACAGAGTGTGACATTTCTGAAATTCTGGAAAAAAAAATTCCTCTTGGTACTGATTACAAAAGCAAAGAAATACCAGTTGGGCGGCAATCTGGAATATCGTTAAAAGAAAATATACAATTAGCTTTGTTCTTACCTCGCCCGATGCTACTGCTTCCCCTGGAATGAACAATTCCGGGTAGACATTGTCCAAATACCATTTAAACGGTTTGCAGCCCAGTTTTCTTCTCAAAGCTTTTCGTTCGGAGACATCACCATAATTACCCTTTAAAAAAACAAATTCAATGTTAAAATAAAATATTTTCCATTTCTTTTTAAATAAAATTCATTTTTATCGAAAGTTAGTAAAATAAATACCTTGAAAATTTAATAAATTAAATTCTCAATTAATTTCTCAAGAAATTCAATTACTTTTTAAAAATAATAAAATTCTTGACAAAAAATTCAATTACTTAAAAAAAAAAAATTCTTTCGAAAATTCAATTATTTTCATACGAAATTAGTCGCAGGAATTCAATTACTTTTAAAAATAATAGGTAATAATATTCAATCCAGGATTTCAATTATTTTCAAAAATTTAATTGTAATACAAATTTTCGCAGAAATTAAATTATTTTAATTGATTAATTCATAATTAGTGATAGTAAATATAATAAATATTATTAATAGATATTTATTAAGATTTAATTTTCTTAAATTATAATTTATTTAAAATAATAAGAAAAAATAAAAATTTATTTATATTTGAGATGACTTTCAAAATTTCTCAATATATTCTATAAAATATGGAAATTCTCAAATATCTGCTTGCATAATAGTCTGATGATACTGTTGAAAATTTGCAGTCTTACCCATAATTTAATATAAATATCAAAGTAAATCTTCAAAGGAAAGTCAAATTTTTGGCGATTATAATGCAAGTATATACATGGAATTTTAAAAATATTGAACAATATGTCGTGGTAGCTAAGCAAAAAGGGATCGTTATTGTACGCATCAAAGTTAAACACTAGAAAAATATATTTATATTCATATAGAAAATTCTAAATAAAAAAAAAGGAATGAAAATCACTGAAAAAAAATTGATTTGATTCAACTAACCGATTATTTTTCTGTCATCGTATAAATATTTACTTGAATCGAATAATTTTCCGTCGAATCAAGTAATTTAAAATGAATTAAATGGTATTTGCTTCAAATACTAAAATTACTGGTTTGGCTTAAATAAAAATTATTCAATTCAAGTAAATATTTATTTTCTAATAGACAACTAATTGGACCAAATAATTTTTATTTTCAGTGAAAAAATTCTAAATATACATTTTTGCTTAGCTGAGAATTATTTTTGTTTAATCAGCATATTTTTTATAGATCAAATTACAAATTAGAAAAAGTAACAAAAAAATATCTTTTTAAAATTCAAAAATTATAATAAAATAATTGAACCATCAAAAATATTTACTTCTTTCTTATCCTGCTAATAAATTCAATTCCTGCAACAAATTTTATTATTAATGAAAGAATTTAAATATTTAGAAAAATAATTTTATTCTTGCGAAGAATTTTATAAAATTTTTTAAATAATTGAATTCCTAAGAAATTTTTATTATTCATGAAAAGAATTGAATTCTTACGAAGATTTTTACAAAAAATTTTTTAAATAATTGAATTCTGTTTGGAAACCTTATGAAAATAGTAGATATCAAAAATCATTTAATTGCGAAAAGTTTTTAAAAATAATTAAATTTTACAAAGAATCCTATTAAAATTTTTGACGATAATTAAATGTCTGTGTTGTATTTTATTAAATTTTGTTGAAAATAATTGAATTCCTAAAAAGAATTTTACTATTTATGAAAATAATTGAATTCTTAGGAACGATTTTATTAGAATTTTTTAAATAATTAAATTTCTAAGAAAAATTATATTATTTTTAAAAATAATTGAATTCTTGTGATGAATATTGTTATTTATGAAAATAATTGAATTTTGTAACGAATTTTACTAAAATGCCTCAAAATAATTTAATTTTCGGGAATAATTTTTTTATTTTTCGAAATAATTGAATTCTTCCGAGGAATTATTTATGTAAATAATTGAATTCTTGGGAAGAATTGTATTAAAATCTAAAAGAATAATTGAATGATTCCAAAAAAATTTAATTAAAATTGTATTAAAAATAATTGAAATCCCGCGATGATTTTTATTATTTATGAAAATAGTTGAATAGTTGCTATGAATACCTATTATTAAAATTTTCAAGAATAATTCATTTCCTGAGAAGAATTTTATTTTTTATGAAAATAATTGAATTATTGCTTAGAATTTTATTAAAAATTTTTTTAAATTATTGAATTCTATTGCGAAGTTTTATGAAAATAGGAATATTGAAAATAATTGAATTTCGAATATTTTTTGAAAATAATTAAATCGTTTTGAAGAATTTGATTATAATTTTTGAGAATAGTTTTTTGATTTTTAGTATTAGCGAATTTAAAGTAGTGGAAATTTTAAATGCTTACGGTATAAAAAATATTTCGTTGATACCGACGTAAAAAACCATTAATTTTCTTTTTTTTAAAATAAACTAAGGGGATATAGTGCTCTTGTATTTTAAATAGAAAGAATTCTAGTATTCTGGTAAAGTAAGTATTTTTAAAGTATTCTATAGTAAAATATTTAAAATCAGCATGGTAAATATATTTTTGGCAAAAGTTTGTACGATATCAGAGAGAAAAAAAGTGGATGTCATTATATAAGTAAATATCGAATGCACGAAGAAAGAACTTTTCAGAGGGAAATCAGAGCGAATAGCTGAGACATCCTCCAACTTTAGATATGGAATTGAAATCGGAATTATGTCCCTATTAAACTCGATGACTGGAGGACTGCCTTGGGAAAATTCAGCACACAGAGCACACGTCGCCTCATTTATGAGGTTTTTACGGTGCGCCTTCACGAATATCGTTCTCTTTGTTACTTTTCGAAAATTTAAACATTTTTCTCTTCGATTTATTATCCATTTGAATAAAAAGCTATTCTCATAATAATTGCAAACTTAATGTCTTCTTCACTGCAATTTATTCCCCTATTTTCTTCCCTTTTTTCCATTTACAAAAAAATATTTATATTTTTTTTTATGAGAATAATATTATTCCTTCTTCGAGAAAAATTATTTATCTTGTTTTCTTTTATTATTATTTATAAAAAAATAATTAAATCTTCTTATTTGAGAATATTTTTTTCCATTTAAAAATAATTATTCCCACGTTATATTTTTCGTGACAATTTTTTTTTAAATAAAATTTCTTTTTAGAGATTCCCTTTTAACTATATATAGATAAGGGTGTGATTTTTTTTCTTGCAGTAAGGATAAAAAGTAGGTTGAAAGCGATGAGTATCATTTGAGGTACTCACTTTGTCGTGACCTATCCTCTGATAGTAGTATTTGGCATACTCGTCCAGCCACACTTCACTCAGTCTTATACTGTTCCTCTTGAGCACGTTCACGCCACTACGCCACTTGTACGGTGAACGCTTTCTGAAGATGTGACCTACGTGCGAGCAAGGCAAGATCTCTAGAGTACCTAAAATCCACAAGAACACAAGATCGTAAAATCTTCTTTTATATAAGTCAACACGTCCAATTAGATAAAAAGAAACTTTCTTCCAATTGAAACGAAAGTGAATAAAAAATAAACAAAATGAGGAAAGAAATAAAATTGAGAAAAATAAACAAAAAAAGGGAAAAATAAAGAAAAAGAAAGAAAAAAATATAAAAAGGGAAAAATTAACGAAAAGAGAAAAAACAAAATGAGAAAAAAGGGAAAAAGAAAGAAAAAAAATGAACGAAAAGAGAAAAAAAGAAAATTAGAAAAAGAAAAAGAGAAAAAATAAAATTAGAAAAAAACAAAATGTAAAAATTAAATAAAAAGAGAAAAAAATACAAAAAGGGAAAAATAAACGAAAAGAGAAAAGAAACAAATAGGGAAAAATAAACAAAAAGAGAAAACTACACAAAATGATAAAAAAGAGAAGAAAACAAAGTGAAAATAAAAAAACAAAATAAGAAAAATAAATAAAAAGAGAAAAAAACTAGGGAAAAAACAAATTGAGAAAAAAGAAAAAAGTGAAAAAATAAATAAGAAGAGAAAAAAAATAAAATGAGAAAAATAAATAAAAGGAGAAAAAAACCGAAATTATAAAAATTAAAGAAAAAGAGAAAAAAATACAAAAAGGGGAAAATAAACGAAAAGAGAAAAAAATAAAATCAGAAAAAGAAAAGGGAAAAAATAAAGAAAAAGAGAAAAAAATACAAAAAGAGAAAAAAATAAAATTAGAAAAAATACAAAAAGGGAAAAATAAACGAAAAGAGAAAAATACACAAAATGTGAGAAAAGAGAAAGTGGAAAATAAATAAGAAAAGAAACATAAACAAAAGCAAAAAAAAAACAAAATAAGAAAATAAATAAAAAGAGAAAAAACGAAATGAGAAAAAGTCAAATAAAATCAAAATTAGAAAAATAAATTGAGAAGAAAGTAAAAAGAGGAAAAAATAAAAGAAGGAAACAAAAAAGGAGAAAAACAAAATGAGAAAAATAAACAAAGACAGAAAAAAAGCAAAGTGAGAAAATAAAGATAACGAGAAAAAAAACAAAATGTATAAAAAACGAAATCAGAAAAATAAAATCAGATAAAATCAAAATTAAAAAAATAAATTGAGAAAAAAATAAAAGAAATAAAAAAAAAGAGAAAAAAAGAAACTATTTCAAAAATGCATTTTGTAGTACAAAATTAATTACCTCCACACATCCAAGTTTTGAACGACAATTCTAAATTCTCGCCTCCCCAAATATCAAATCCGCTATCATATGTGCCTAACTTTACAAAAAATTCCTTGTCTATTGCGAATAAGCCACCGGCCATTGTTGGTGACCAAACAGGCTCCGCTGAATTTTTGTGTCTTTTTTTCTCTCGCTCCGGTATTGCGTGCCAGTTAAACTGCAAAAACAGAAAAAATTATTATTTTTCCAATCTTTTTTTGTTACAAATACTAAAAATAAATAAAATCAAATCCCACTGTTTTCCAACATAAAAAAAAATTTTTGTTTATCCATAAATATTTCTCTTTTGTAAATTATTGATCAAAATAATTCAAAGAATTATTATTATTATTATGCGAATTATTTTTATACAAAAGTTTTTATAAATTTAAATAAAAAAATATTTTTTCTTCTAAATCGTTGATTATAAAAATTGTGAACTCAATCGACTAAATTTAACAATCGAATGAAAATTTAATATTTATTTTATTTGAAAAAATAATATTTCTTAGGAGCAAAGTATTTATTTATTTATTCAAGTATAATTTAATTTACAAAAAAATCGCCTGTCATATTATTTGTTAATTCACTTTCTAAATTTAAATTAATAAAAATCTGTACTAATAAATTTTTTCATAAGCTTTTAAAAAAATTTATTAATAAATTTTAATTTTTTCAAAAAAAATTTTGTTAATTTTGTTAATTTAGAAAATTAATTTCTTTTTAAAAATGCTGAATTTATTTTATTTTAAATTTGCTTCTAGTAATTTTTAAATATATTTAAATAAAAAAAATATTCCTTCTTTTGAATGTTCAAAACTTTAGCAAAATTAATTTATGTCCCTAAAGATTCGAATGAATGATTAGAAAATTAATTGAAAAATAATTGAAAAATCTTAAGAAAACTTAATTAATTAATTGTTAATATTAATTCTAATAAAATTATTAATATTAATTCCAATAAAAAATACTTGTACAAAAAAATTATAAATACACGTATAAAATTAAATATTCACAGTATGCGTGTTATTTAATTATTTTTTGCCGCAAAAATAATATAACAATGAATAGCGGGAAAATTGGAAAACAATATTGAAAAAAAATAAATGAAACTTGAAACATTGTTTGAATGCAAAATTGATTTAGTTAAATTAATTTACCTGAAGATTCCAATCAAATCCACCAACATTAACACCACCGGAATCTCTCCAGTGGTACTCCAAAGTGGTATCATCAATAACGTCAATAACTGGACAAACCACAGTTGTAGGATCACGTGCAATTCTATCCAAAAGCGGTTCCAGCCAACCTTCTGTACATTCACAGTGACTGTCCAAGTACGTCAAAACCGAAGCATTCGCCTTTTTGGCACCCAAAAGTCGTGCTCTAATTAAACCCTCACGCTTCTCGGCTCTGACAATCTTCACTTTTGGATAATTCATCATGTAATCTTCGAGCTGTGTTTTAAGGTGTGCTGTAAATTCAAAAATTCTTATTGAAATTTTTTTTTTTGTACAAAACTTTTTACTCTTTTATTTGATTTCAAATGAAAATTTTATTTCGCACAAAAGAAACGTTTTTTTGGGCGCAAATAATATTTGTATTTAAAATCCAATTATTCGAACCGAATACAATTTATTTGACCAAAAAAAATTTTCTTAACAAATATTTATTTGAATCAGATAAAATTTATTTCAACCAAAAAAATTGTAACAAGGAAAATTTATTGGAAAACCAAGAATATTTATTTATTAACAAATAAAATTTTTCTTTGGGCGAAAATAACATTTTTATTTGAACCAATGAAATTTTTTTTAACAAATATTTATTTCAGCCAGGAAAATTCGTTTGAACCAAGAAAATGATAACAAAGAAAATTTATTTAAACCGAGAAAATTTACTTGAAACTATAACAAATAAAATTTTTCTTTGGGCGAAAATAACGTTTTTATTTGAACCAATTAAATTTTTTTAACAAATATTTATTTCAACCAGGAAACTTGTAACAAAGAAAATTTATTGGAACCAAGAATAATTATTTATAACAAATATAATTTTTCTTTTGGCGAAAATAACGTTTTTATTTGAACCAAAGAAATTTATTTATATAATAAATGTAAAATTTATTTGAACCAAATACAATTTATTTAAATCAAAAACAAAATGTATTTAAATTAAAAAAATGTATTTCTAACAAATAAAGTTTATTTTAACCAGAGAAATATTTTTCTAACAAACATTTATTTCAACCAGAAAAACTTATTTGTACCAAAAAAATGATAACAAGGAAAATTTATTGGAACCGAAAATATTTACTAATTTATAAACTATTTTAAAAAAAATTATTTTTGCAAAATTCTGTTATTTATTATTATTCTTGTCGAGCTTATTGACAGAATGATAGTTTTAGAATTTTGTATATTAAATTACATTCACAATATCGCTCGTTCTCTTTGTAAAAGTTTCTCCATGTAACCAATTTGTTTAATAAAACTCCTCTCCCCCTATATAATAAATAATAAAATTTAATAAACCAATTATTCATTTCCCTTTTCTTCTCATTCACTCTCGAGTAATTAATAAATTCATGTTTCGTTTGAATTTTAATTCTTGTTAATTGAATCATTTTTAGTAAACAAAAAATGAATAATTAATAATTTAATTAATAACTATTACCAAAATAATTATTTAAATAAAAAATTATAATAATAAATATGTAATTAAATGGTAATTAAATGAATTTACAATTATAGGTTTGTTTGAATTTATATTTTTGTTTTTTCAATAATTATTAATAAATTAATAATAATCAAAATAAATAATAATTATATATTTAGCGTAATAGATAATTTTTAGTGAACTCATAATTATAGAATTGTTTAAAAATTTTTTTCTAATTAAATAATATTCATTTTAAATATAACTTGATTGCGCGGAAGAGCAAGTAGTAAAGATAAAGCTTCCGTCAGACGGATTCATATAATTTTTTTAAATTCATACTATTTTTGTAATTATTGATTTCAATTTATATTAGATTTAAATAATAGTATTTTTTTTAAACAAAACCCGCAGTTTTATGTATAATTAAAGTACCCATTAAATCTCGAAAATCGTAAAATTTATATGAATCTACCTTGAAAGAATCCAATAAAATTCACTTTAATTTCTTCATTAAAAAAAACTGTAGAATTTCCCAAACATTCTTTCTTTAAATACTGAAATATAATAGAAATATTAAAAATATAATGAATATAAAAATGAAAAAAAAATTCATCACCTCTGTAACTGTAATAAAAGTAATAAAAGATAATTCAGAGTTATATAAATCTGACTATCGCTCTACCATGACTACTTACACTCTTTCACAAAATCGGCTTATGCAAAGAAATATTATCAGAATTCAAAAAGTTATTAAAATGATTAAATTTTTTTACTTCTTTTTCACATATAGAAAATTTTATAAAATCGCGGTATTATATTTAAATGTAGTGTATAGAATTTTATTAACATTTCCGTTGACATACTGGGTCATTTTGATCCGGATTAAGAATTTAATTCAAGTAATTAAAATTTAATGAATACAACATTCTTTTTAATTAAACTTTTATTATACTGACTGAAAATTCTTTTTTCAATTAAAATTAATTTTTCCTTTCATTTCATTGAAAATTAAATTTAGATTTCTTTTTTTATTGAATTGTAGCTTATTTTTGTAAATTTCTGCGTGCAACGCCAATTATTTGAAAACTGGTTTTTTGAACAATTTCATTAAAAAATATTCTTTTAACTAAATATAAAATAAACAGTAAATAAAACACATCAGAAAAAATATGTATTTCACTCAGAGTCTACTGGAATTTTTATTTCAAACAAATAAATTTTATTTGATTCAAATAAAATTTTACTTGGTTCAAATAAAATTTTATTTAGTTCAACTAAAATTTTATTTAGTTAAATAAATAATTTAGTAGGTCTTGAGATCAATATACTTTTTTTTTACTCAAATAAATTTATCAAATAAACTCTAATAAATTAATAAATTTATTCTCTACGTGCACTGAAAAAAAAATTTACTTGGTTCAACTAATTTTTATTTGGATCTAAAAAATATATATTTGATTCAAATAACTGAATTACTCGAATTACATTGATTTTGAACGAAAATAAATCTTAATTGAATCAAGTGAATAATTAATTGAATTTAATAATAATAAATAATAATATTTAATAAAATGAATTTAATTAAAACAAATAATAACTTATTTTAAACTGATCATTTATTTATTTCAGTCAAATATTTGAGTTTTTGATACAAATAAAAATTACTATTTTATAAGAAACAAATTAAAAGTTTGAAATTAAAAAATAAGGAATTTTCTCAATTCTTTTATTTTCCTCCACAATAAAAGGAAGATAAGGGCAATAAAATTGCGAATTGACCAACTGACAATAATTCAAATGGCAATTAGCAGATCAACATAAATCGCTTGTATAGGAGACAGGTTTATGTACAGACCAAACTCTAATCCTGAGTCGCCGTTAAAGGTTTAGGAAACGATGGACTGCACAAAGGATAGCTTAGCTCATTTGTCTCGATATTTATTCTTGAAATTAGAAAAGTCAAATTCAAATTGAATTTCACCTTTTTCACCTTTTTCACCTTTTTCACCCTGCAACTACACTTTTACATATTTTACTACACTTTATATTTTCTAGATTAAATTTTCTATTTAATTTTTATTTAATTTTCATTTAATTTTTACAAAGTTTTTTACGCAATAGGTACAAATATAATTCCGCAAAAGAATGAAAAATTTATTCCTCGCATTTATTTTAAATTCAAGCAAAAATAACACACTGACGAAAAATCGATATAACACAAATTAATACGACAAATAAAATCTTTAGTCAAGTATAGAAATTTCCTTCGAAATCAATTAAATATATCCTGCATAAATAATTGAAATAAAAAAAAAAAAAGAAAAAGAAAAACTCTGTAAATTGAATACCAAGAGAAGTTTTATAATATAGATAGGCGGATTTAAATAGAAGAATGCCATTCGGCCATTAAAATCTGTCCCTTTTATTTCAGATTCGGCTGAGTCTCTGGGATTTAATTAAAAAGCATATAGACCATTCTCACGTCCATCCAATTACGCTCACCTAATTAATTCCATTTTGTTCTTCATACACTTTCAAGCGCACAATAATATAGGGGCATACATATTCCTAATGGTAAGGAAATACATATATATATATATATATTTTACATCGAGGAACTGAGTAATATTTAAAGTAGTGAAAAAGATGACAGAACAAAATGAATGGAAAAAGATTAATTTGCATGCAATCAAAGGTGGAATTAAATTTTTAAATGCCTAAAAATAGCTCACAGAATTTCGTATATATTAAAGGGGGGGGGGGGGGTAATTAAATTCAACTGTCAGAAATATCCCAGATGAAAAAGTTCTATAGAATTTCACTAGACTCATTCCATGTGAATTCTAGTGAATATTCTATAGAATTTCACTAGAACAATTCTATACAATTTTCAAAAGAATTAAATTCTTTTAAAAAAATTTTAATAAAATTCTACGCAAACATTCAATTATTTTCATAAAATAATAGAAATTTCACAAAAATTCAATTATTTACAAATTTTTGTATAAATTTCTTCTTCTTCACAATATAATTCAATTATTTTTATAAAAAATAAAATTATTACAGGGATTCAATTATTTTCAAAAATAATAAAATTTTTTTTAGGAATTCAATTATTTTCATAAAAATAATAAAACTCATCGCAAAATTTCAATTATTTTTAATAAAATTTTAATCAAATTCCTCGATAAATGTAATTATTATTAAAAATTTTATTAAAATTCGTCAAACGAATGAAATTATTTAAAAATTTGTTGACAAAATTTTTTACGAGAATACAAATTTTAAGAAACATCCAAATATTTAATAAATTATTTTTTTGTATTTAAATAATTGAATTCTAGTAGAATTTTAAAATTAAAATTGATTTAAAAATTAATTTCAGTTAAAAACAAATGAATTTGGAAATTCTCAAAAAACTTTTTCAAAAATTATTAAAAATATTGTATTTATAGAAAAATTTTAGTTAACACTAAAAAAAAATTGAATTTTGGAGAAGTAATTTGATTAAAAAAGGATAAAAAGTTCGCGAATTGTTTGATATAATTTGAAGAATTTTAGTGAAATTCTACGCAAACATTTAATTATTTTCATAAAATAATAAAAATTCCACAAAAATTCAATTATTTACAAATTTTTTATAAATTTCTTCGTAATATAATATAATTCAATTATTTTTATAAAAAATAAAATTATTACAGGGATTCAATTATTTTCCTATATAATTAAATTCTTTTTGGAATCCATTATTTTCATAAAAATAATAAAACTCATCGCAAAATTTAAAAATTTTAAAATTTGTTGATAAAATTCTTTATGAGAATATAAATTTTAAGAAACAATTTTCAATAAATTATTTTTTTTCTAATAAAAATTGTTTTCAAAAGTAATAAAATTCTTTGCAGAAACTCGATTACGATAAAAAATTTAAATTATTTTTATAAATAATAAAATTCTTCTCTGAAATTCAATTATTTTCAAAAATTTTAATAAAATTCTTGGTAAAATTTCAGTTATTTAAAAAAAAATTTCCTCAATTCAATGATTCTCAAAATCTACTATTGTAATAAAGTTTTCCAAAATAATTCAATTATTTTAGAAAATTTTTATTAAAAATCTACAAAAACGAAAATTTAAATGAAAAAAATCAAGAAAAAATAAATCTTTTCCATATTTTTAACTCCAAAATTTAGAATTTTCTTATGAACTCTGAAAATTTAATATTTTTTCAGTACTTTTTAATGAAATTCCCAGACATATGTCAACCTTAATTAAATATAAATCTTTTTTAAAAAGTGAATCAATGATGAAAGAGATTAATTTAATATTACTTATTATTAATTTGACTTTATTTCGAAATAAAGTTAAATCTAGTAAAATCTTTATATTTTATATTCAAAACTGTTCAAATTATTGGTTTAATTCAATTTATTTGAAAAATTATTTTACTCGCAAGTTTATTTGATAAATTTAGAAATTCTTTTATTTAGAAATTTATCTGATTTAACTTAAAATTTTTTTATATTCAGATGGTTAGTTGGTTAGATGAAAATTGTTTTTCTTTATGTGTATTTATAATTCAAATAAAAATTAATTGGTTCAAGTAAATATTTATTTTCTAATCGAATATTAAAATAAAAACTGTTTTTTAATGGATAAAATAAAAAAATCCTTACCAAGAACTACAAATTTTCTATATTAGAATAAATAAAAAAAATTTTTAATAATAAGTACACTGAAAAAAAATTTTATTTGATTCAAATAACCGATTATTTGTCTATTATCAAATAAATATTTACTTGAAACAAATAATTTTTAATTAAATCAACAATCAATTTGAGCAAATAATTTCAGTGTTTGAAGCAAATATAAATTGAACCATTTAACTAACTCAAATAAGAATTATTTGATTCAAGTAAATATTTAAATTGATAAATTAGTGGATAATAATTTTAGTCAGAGAAAAAAATAGTAGAATTTGAATTTACTCTGTCAAAAAAAAGTAGTACAGGTGGACTTTAGTCAGACAAAAAAGTAGTACAGGTGAACTTTAGTCAGACAAAAAGTAGTAGAGGTTAATTTTAGTCAGGCAGAAAGTACATATAATTTTAGTCAGTCGAAAAAAAGTAGTGTAGGTCAATTTATAGTCAGACAAAAAATAATAGTAGTCAATTTTAGTCGGACAAAAAAGTAGTAGAGGTCAATTTTAGTCAGACTAAGAAAAATAGTTAAAGTGAATTTTCACCAAATTGAAAAAAGTAGTAAAGGTCAATTATAGTCAGACAAAAAGTAGTAGAGGTTAATTTTAGTCAGACAAAAAAGTAGTAGAGGTCAATTTTAGTCAGACTCAGAAAAAAGTAGTAGACAATCAAATAAAATTTTTTTTCACAGTGTATAAAATAGAAAAAAATAATAAAAATGTTACTTACGCATATCTGAGAAATCATCAACTAAAATGATTTCTTTTATGAGATGATCGGGTGATCGGTCTAAAACAGAATGTACAGTTCTCAACAAAACTGACCAAGCTTCGTTGTGAAAGCATATGACAACAGCGGTTGATGGAAGTTCCTTTCGGTATCTACCAGGCTCTTTGCACCTGAAACACAAAAGTAAATATTCCATAAACTCCAAATTCAAAAGGAGAAAAAAATCAATTAATTCACTGATATTTTCAAATCGAAAAATTGATCTTAATATTTTTTTGTAAAAAATAAAACTTTTCAATCAATTTGATTCACTTTCGTGTAAAATTAACACTTTGAAGAAAACAATGTTTATAATCAATAAAGTGAGGTACTTTTGTAAATTTTTACATACAAAAATATTTTTAAATGCAAAAAAGTTTCAAAAAAAAGAATTACATAAATATTTAGACACGACAATTTTTTATACAATTCTTTACAAAAAAAAAAAAAAAAAACTAAATTATACTAAGAAATTTGTAAATTATGTAAATAATTTTATAAATGCAAGTCCACGTGTGGAATACAGCCAAAAACCTTTCCTTGGCGATTTTTAAATTCCAGACGCTCATATACAGCATTATCGCATCGTATTTTCTCGTTTTCAGATATTCGACTTGGCCTTTTCTTTTCATACGATAATATTCGCGATATATCAAAATTTTATTGTGCGAATACTTAGAAGCAGAATTTATGAGAAAACGCATCTATATATGTGTGAGTAAACGAATTTAAAAGAGAATTCTATCGATAACCAACTATTTATATACAAAAGCAGGAGAATTTCAAACGATTGCCGACGACGACGATATTGAGAGAAAATTGACCACCAGCATATAGGCTTTTAAACGACATCAAAATGGCCATAAAATGCAGGGCCATTACAATTCAAAATAAATCACACACTGTTCACACATATTATTTTCAGTGATTTTACTCAAATCAAATATTATTCGAGTTGAAGATTCGAGCTTTCAAAATTTTCGATGATTTGAAAATTCGACGACTTTTTGAGAATCGAGGTTTTAGATTTTTTATGTTATAATGGAAATTCTACGAGTTGAAAATTTGAATCTTTTAGTTTTTCAATGTCTTGGACATTCTACGAAAGAAACTTTTTATTCATCATAAAAATAAAAAAAAAACTTTTTATTCATAAAAATTAATAATACTTTTTTTCTCAACTATTAATTGCTACCTTGATAAATGTGAAATTTCTACATTTATTATCTACAATTAATTTTAAATAAAAAAAAAAAAATAAATAAATAATCAAACAAAAATTATTTGATTCAATTAAATGGTTTACTTGTCTATTATCTACTAAATATTTATTTCAAGTTGAACTAAGTAAATATTTACTGAACCTAAGCATTTAATAATAAAAATAAAAATAATAATAATTTATTATTTATTTATTTAAGAAAAAATAAGTTCCTAGGGCTAATAAGCTCTTCAAAGAACAAAATAATAATAATACTAATAATAATAATAATAATAATAACGATAATAAATAATTTATTAATAATAACCAAAGTAATAATCGTAACGAATAAACAGTTATTTGGGTCAAATATAAATATTATTTAAGTAAAATTAATGAAATATTTAGAATTAATAAATAATTAATTAAGTCAATTAGGAAAATTATTTATATAATATATTTTAACATAATAAATAATAATGTATGTTATTGAATTTAAATAAATTTGTATTTTCATGAATAAAATGTTTTTTTGATAGAACTAAAAATTTGTTTATAGCAAGTATTTAATTATTCATTATCATAATTATTCATTATTCATTTAATGCATTCTTATAATATCCCTATAATTGATTTAAGTAATTAATTATTTATTTAAAAGTTAAAATACAAAATTTATTTGCATTTAACAATATTTAATGAAGTTTTAAAAATCAATTTTCAGAATTTTAAAATTAAAAATTTTTGAATTAAAATACAGAAACATAAATTATTTCAGACTTCGCACTCGATAATTAATTTTAAAAAAGTAGCAAAAAATAGCTTTCAAGCTAAAAAAAAGTAGGTATGCAGCTTGATTTGAAAGTAGAGAAAAATTTAATTATAATAACCTACTTTTAATAGTCGGATAAATGTAAATTTAGAATTTATGTCATCGCAAGAAGGAAGCGCGAAAGATTGTTTGTTGATTTTTTAAATAGTGTTATTTGACAATTTCTGGCAAAAAGCGTTTGCAGAGAAAGTTTATTGATAGTAAAGATTAGATGAGGGGTATGTTGGGATTGTTTGTGCACGGTAAATATATAGCTATGAAACCTGAAATTGTAAACACGCATTAGAGTTAATATTGTAAGGAAGGAGCTTGTTAGCGAAACCGTGTCGACATAATATCAATTCTAGCGCTACTAGGTGCTTTGCCTACTAATAAGACGACGAGTTTCATTGCCAGGTATTTTTTAGTTTTACGCACACTTCATCATCAATAATACTTTACTTATTTAGCATTAAAGATTAAACTTTAGCATTAAGTACAAGGGGCAAACTATTTTAGTTCCTTTATTATTTGCGGCAACGTTCAAAGTGCATTTTACTAATTTACTTGATAGTAAATAATAGTAATATTATTACTATCATCAAATAATAATATAACTTTCAAATTAATAGTTTGAAAAAAAAGAAAGTAACTTTTACCACTTTTATAGTAAAAATCTAAACTTTAAGAAATTTTTGCGCATTTTCAGAGCAAATTTTACAGGCTTCATACTCAATAATTAATTTTAAAAAAGTATCAAAAAGTAGCTTTAATGCTGAAAAAAGTAGTTGAAAAAGTGGCTATCGAAAATTAATTTTAACGAATAAAAAAAATTGTTTTAGTCGATTCACAAAAATTTGATTCAATATTTCCCTGACTGATTCCTGATTTCAATCAAAAATATTTATTTCTATTCTAATCCTGCTCTACATTTTTGAAAAATTCAATTATTTTCTAAATTTTTATCCTAAAAAATACAATTGTATTTAAAAGAAATTTTTAAAAGTAAACAAATAAAATTATTTAATAAAATTTAATTTAAATTCTTCACAGGAATTAAGAAAATAAATTTATAATTTTTCAAAGTAAAAATTTAAATATTATTACAATTTTACAACAATTAAAATTTTCAACGATTTCGATTTAATAATCTTTTGAAATTTAATTACTTCTAAAAAAATCGTACTATAACGCTTTTAATATTCAATGAATGTTTCTCAAAATTTAATTCTTATAAAAAATTTATCAATTTTTTAAAAAAATAATTGAATTTCTAAGACGAATTTTATTATTTATCAAAATAATTGAATTCTTGCGAAGAATTGTATTGAATATTTTTTAAATAATTGAATTCTCGTGAAAAATTTTATTATTCGGGAAAATAATTGAATTCTTGTGAAGAATTGAAAAAAGAATTTTTAATTTTTTAAAAAATAATTGAATTTTTGTGAAGAATTTTATTATTTATGAAAATTTTTAATTTTTTGAGAAGAATTTAATTTAATTTTTTTTAAATAATTGAATTCTCGTAAAAAATTTTATTATTTGGGAAAATAATTGAATTCTTGTGAAGAACTAAAGAATGAATTTACAATTTTTTAAAAAAATAATTAAATTCTTGTGGAGAATATAAAGAAAGAATTTTCAATTTTTTAAAAAATTATTGGATTTCTAATAAGAATTTTATTATTTATGAAAATATTTGAATTCTTGTGAAGAATTATTTAATTCTTCACTTCTTCAATTTGAATTCTAAAAATTCAATTATTTTTGTGAAGAATTTTATTATTTATAAAAATTGTTGAATTCTTGAGAAGAATTTTATTTAATTCTTTTTTAATAATTGAATTCTCGTAAAAAATTTTATTTTTTGGAAAAATATTTCAATAATTGTGAAGAATTAAAGAAAAAATTCAAGAATTTCTCAATTTTTTAAAAAAATAATTGAATTTCTGAGAAGAAGTAATATATTTTTTCTCAAAATAATTGAATAATTGAATAATTGAATTTTATTAAAATTTTTATAAATAATTGAATTTTCGTGAAAAATGTTATTGCTTGTGAAAATAATTGAATTCTTGCGGTAGAATTTTATAAAAAGGTTTTAAATTGATTTTCTTCGAAAAATTTTATGAAATATTTGAAATAAATCAATTCCTGTGAAAATTTTATTACTTAGGTATAAAAAAAATGGAATGTTTGCGAAGAATTTGATCAAAAATCTTTTGTGGAATTTTATTAAAATTGTATAGATATTAAAAATCATTGATTTTCGAAAAGTTTTTGAGAATAATTGTATCGTTTTAAATAATTTTATTACAATTTTTCGAATTTTTTTTTATTTTAACTATTAGCGAATTTAAATATTTTCAAGTGATGCAAATTTCCCCCAAAAATAAAAAAAAGTAGCTTTTAGTGTCATAAATCTAAAAAAAGTAGTTAAATAGTAGCAAATTGTAAAAAAGTAGTAAATAGTAGGTTTTAGTAGATGAGTGCGAAACCTGCTATTAATAGTAATAATTACTAATAATTTACTTAAAAATACAAAAATTTACTGTGAGGAATGATTAAAATTTGCTCTGAAAATGCGCAGAAATTTCTTAAAGTTTAGGTTTTACTATAAAAGTGGTAAAAGTTACTCTATTCCATTTTCTGTATGTTTAGATTTAGACAGATCGAAAAACATTGCATTTCAGTGACAGTTCAAACAGAAGTTTATAGCTGTTATTTGAAAAGCATTTCTTTCGGTGTGTTTTAATCTCTGTATTATTTGTTCTACATTCGTTTCTTTCTTTCTTTTTTTTTATTTTTTGAAAGTAAATTGATCGATAGAACATACATATTTGTAGAAATGTTGATATAGTGGAAATTCGGATCAAAGTTGTGATTAAACTTTGAATTAACTTCGTAATGAAACACTCCTTGTAGCGACGAATGTTAAGATATGATGATATAGCAGCAGAGCGACTTTGATTAAAAAAAATTTACTTGACTCCCTTGAAAGTTAGGTGAAAAAATTCTTACCGAATATTTCGAGATGTAGAAAGTTAATAATTCTTTTTATTATTATTAATTATTATAAAATAGTTATTAAAAATAGTTAATGAAAATAATTAATA